GCTATCGTTTGACGTTTCATTGTTCCTGCCTCTGAAAAGTAATTAAAAAGTTTAACAGCATCTGTAAGCTGTTCATTTCCCAGACTCAGGATTCGCTGTTTATCCTAGGCAAACATGAAGTTTGACAAATTATTTGGTAATAATAATGACCAAAAGTTTTTATAAACTTGAGCCATCGTTATGTTACAAGTCTTAGCTGCGACATATATCAACTAAAGCTTACTGTACACTTTAAATCAAATCTGTAAATTAATAAACTGGAGTTTTTACAAAGTAGAACTGGAACTTACATTAACATTAATAACTTTTTTAAGTAATGACATATAAGATTCGTTCTATGAATTGAAACAATGATGCAAAGAACATTTCATATTTTTATCCCGTACAACTGTCACGTTATTTTCTACATAATATTATGTGTAGTTAGTTGAGACAAGATTGTTTATGGCATATTATCTATGTATGATTTCAAGTAGCTGTTTACCTTCATGATAAACAGTAGCATTTTTTCCGTTGTTGTTGTTTTTGTTTATAAGTTGGAATTCCAAGTTATTTGAATGCTACCTCAGAATATAAGGAAAAGATAAACCACATCTCACCATCCAAAACAAACAGCAAACTACATTGCTTTTATCCTATCATATCCACATGCTTACCTAATCAAAATGTATTGTTGTTTTTTTACATACAATAACTTTACACATAAACATAAACACTCCCTGTTTATAACTTTAGTAGGAAAAAAAACACTTTTTAAAAAGGAATCTGTGTATAGGATTCTAACGCTTAAATCAATTACATGTCAAATTCGTATTTCAAACTTTCTCATTTTACCGTTTACTTGTGGTGCAACTAGACATCATGGGGACCGTGGAGCAGAATGACATGGGACCCCTTAACCTACTGTTAACTAGTGGGGGATTCCAAAGAGGCTGGAAGGGGCCACGGAGACCAGTGGACTTGATCCAAACAGTAAAATATATAGTTGCACCCGTGCGTTTTATCGGTTCATTCGGAAGAGTACTTTCACTTTATATTCAGCACCGTTTTGAGATTATTTTTTTCCATAGACTCTCCCGGTTAAAAGATTGAATATTTTTCCTACAGTCGTTTTTATGCATCCAAATGAATCAGCTAGCAGAAAAGTTTCTACTAGAAAATTAAAAACAAAACACATTTCAATGGTGCCAAATTCTTATGTAGAATATAATAATAAAGTTATCTACATTCGAAGATTTGTATTGTAATATAACCACTTGTCTAGAAAAAAGGTCTATATTTTATTTAATGCCCCAGTTAGAAATAAATCAGTTGTTAATAACTGAACAAGGACGTACTCTACACGTGTTCATTCATCTGTCTAGGAAGGGAAAATAGTCAATATCTTAAGCTTTTCTACCTTAGTGTTTTGCAGAAATAACCTACATATATAATTTACTAATTTTCCGCTTTTAACATAAAGTTTATCCTCTTATATATAAACATGACTATAAAGTTTCGTATTTACTTATACGGTTATAGTTACACTATTCTTATGGTGTATCATCAAACTATTTTTTCTTTACCATATTGCAACAAACAGATAATTTCACACATATTTACTGTACTTAATACGTGTTGATTTTTAATAACAGAAACAGCTTGTAATTGATAGTTTGTGTGACATTAGCTCACGTTCACCAGCATAAGATGTCATAAACTATAGGAGCAGCTGTTCTTTCAGAGATGTTGTATCATAACTCGGAATATACATCTGTTTCAAAGACAGGTATAAGTTACAAACTAATAAGATGTGACATTCATGTTTAACGATATTTCATATATTATCACAAACTGTTTAGTTTTATACGTTCTCTGCCCTACCAACTTCAAGTATTAACATTTGAGAAGAAGTTTTTAATCTTGTCAAAACATTTCTGATATAATACTTACTCTCCAAAAACAAACGTACTTCTGTACCGACTATAAAGTATACACTAGAATACAAATAACTTAAACTATTTATATTTTTATCACAAAAGTTAAGTATATTGAGCTCTAATGCTTCGCAAGCTACCAGCGTGTAAACCTGAAATTTTAAAGCATTATTTGTATTTTTGTTATTAAGCACAAAGCATCACAATGGACTGTTTGTCCTGTACCCACCACTTAAAGTATGATAATACATACATAAATTGTGTCTTGGAGAATCACAATCAACATCTTGCAGTGTAACTTCTTATAAACTCATGCTCATTTCCAGCATTCCGTAAACAATACTTCACAAAAACTGATAGATATAACAATGATCTGACGTCCATACCGTTTTTTAAACAAGTGTTTTCAATTTTACTATGCTAACATAGGATACTTATTATAGTTCCGTCTCTGTGATTTAAACTGATGCTTAAGCATTCATAACATATCTTATCCATGTTACATTATCTTTTTAAATACCCATTACTTCTATATTACAAGTATTACTTTATAATCAAGCGTCGAACCATAATTTGATGTTTAATACCTTCATTTTACTACCACCAACCACTTTATGTATATTTATTCTCCATTATTCCCTTGGTTACCACTAATAGGCTTTTCAGCATTATTATACTATAATAATATTGTTGTTTTTCGTTTCAAGCGATTTGAACATCTTTGTATTTGCTAAAAAAAATTTGTTCAAACGTTAGTTTAACCTGATAATGATGGGTAAAGTATGATGGTCGAACGTTCCTTTATATGTATTAAATATTTGAAAAATTTTGCTCCAGCGAATCTATTGCTGATGTAAAAAAATCGCTATCGTTGCTAGTAGCCTATACGATCACCTAGTATAGTATACTTATATTACGTAGCTATACTAACATATGACATATATATATATTACTAAAATGAAATATAAAAATAAAGAGAACCTAAATATGTTTTATGATAAACTGAAAACACAGAGACAAAAAATAGAAGTTGCTAAGAAACAATAGTAAATGGAAAGGATTCGAAATTTACTAGCAATGTTTAAAACTAATTGTAAGACTGTGTGGTACTCCAGAGTAAGCAAGTCTTAAACTGGAAGTAATAAGTGTAAAATGTATTGATATAATTTGTTGTTCTGTGAATGGTGTTTTAGTTGCATGTACCATCCAATGTCTCTGTTCATTTTTGGATTTTGCTCCAAATTCTGCAAGTAAGTTCATTTCTGAGTTACTTGTACATTAGCATCGAAGTTTTGTTGAAATATTTGTTTGTGAAGTTGGGCCGACAAGTAAAACAAGCCTATAGCAAGAATTACTGAAAAAAAGTAAAATGATTCGTTATCTTACGTGAACTGGAATTTGAAATTATTTTTACCATATAATCTCAAAGAACCCACAACAGTATTTATAAGGCTTGCATTGAATTTTCTATTCCTTTAGTCTGATCATGTTTATTTGAAATATGTTTATTTTGATAGTCTTCATCTACTTAAGTCTACGATATGCCATAAGATAAATGAAAGTTTAAACCTTCAAGTAAAATAATTATTATTAATAATATTATCTAGATGTAAGTAAGTCAGTATTGTATTTAATACCAAAATATTCTCAAATTAAATAGGCTTATACATTAATGATGACAGTTCGGTATGATTAATTGATAACGCTAATTACTATTAGTAATATGTTAATAGTTAAGTTTGTTTACTATTGTGTGGAGTTGGAAAAAGTGATTATTGATCATAACATTATATACACATAACCCTGTGGAAGACTAGAAGCGTATAGTGACTATTAGAATTGAATAACGCGTCATGAGGTTCGGTCATCTTAGAAGATGTAAGATAGGCTTAAATAAAACCATTTTAAGAAGTAAGAGATTTAAATGTTTTTGTTTAAATTATTGGTTATTTCTACCGTTTAACAAGAAGTATTTTCTAGAGTTTCTTTTACTTTACTCTCTTAATTTGCAATTCGTTCAAAAGTGTATTATAAATAAAATGTTTTATTAGTGAACAAAACTTTGACTTTACAATTATTGTAATTTATTTCAATTTTTTATATTCTGAATTTAATTTCTTGCTCCACGGTGACTCAGCTGAAAGTTTGATGGTTTATAATGCTAAAACTCGGGTTTTGATACCAGCAGTTGGCAGAGCACAGTTAGCCCATTGTGTAGCTTTGCGCTTAACAACAAACAAAAAAAATTTGTTTTTAGCGTATGAAATACTAAATTAAATAATTGTTGGTAATTTTTCATCAACATTTAATCAGGAAGATAAAGAAAATTATAATGAGTAAGGTTTAGATTTGCGAGGTGATATCCATGAAGTAATACCTTGTTATAAGTAAAAATTAAATGAGCAGCATATCACTGCTTAAAAAACAAAATTATTAAATTATATTCTTCGAAGACGATCGTAATGGCACTAAGGAAATGAATCGTTTTACAACGTAATATGTAAAACATTTACACTTTTCTAAAATGTGAAAATTTTGTTTCGTTTACAAATAAAAAACACTATTAAAAAGGCATAACTATAGCTGTATTTTCGAAGTGATCTCGCCGTGCATCAAAGAGCAGCGATAACTATGCGCGAGTGCTCATTAATAATTTGTAATATTCTTAAAAAAGGTTGGGTGAGAGGCAGAAAAACAGCGCCACAGTTAACGAAACAAGGTTTGACACCATTTCAATTATTCATTGAAACTCCAACATAATTTTCATTGAAGTATGTTTATAGTATATGACGAGCGACTTAAAGAAATTTCCCTAGCGAGCAAAGAATTGAAGGAGAGAGAGACTGTGAACAGGTTAAGCCTCTCGGGTGTTAGGGGACTAGTGATTGGATGAAAGTGTACGAGCTTTTGTAACACTTTATTGTTTATCTTTCGCTGACAGCCTAAGACTTTCATTGATAACTAATTTATATCCCAAGAGCTATCTACCTTATAATCTATATCACAAACAAACGATCTATTTTAACTTGTCTAAAATGGTATCGCCTGTTGACGAGAGTAAAGACTCAACTCCAAAAAAGGGAGGTGAAATCACCCACGATCAACGCCATTGGCTGAGATTGAAATGAAAAATTCTTTATGTTTTTCTCTGGAGTATATAAAATCATATATGTTATCATCACGATCTTATAATGTATTATAATTGTATCTAGAAGAGTCTGATCAGTATCGAAACCTCACACTGTAGTCTCCCATCTTTGCTGCCTCTTACAGCCGGTAAGTTTTCTTAAAGTGGTATCTGTGTGTAGCTTGATTAAGATACCAACATTTTGGTATAGTAATCTTTACCAAGGCTAAGTAATATCTACCAAGACTGGGTAATCTTTACCAAGGCTAAGTAATATCTACCAAGACTGGGTAATCTTTACCAAGGCTAAGTAATATGTACGAAGACTGGGTAATCTTTACCAAGGCTAAGTAATATCCCCCAAGACTGGGTAATCTTTATCAAGGCTAAGTAATATCTACCAAGACTGGGTAATCTTTATCAAGGCTAAGTAATATTTATCAAGACTGGGTAATCTTTATCAAAGCTAAGTAATATCTACCAAGACTGGGTAATCTTTATCAAGGCTAAGTAATATCTACGAAGACTGGGTAATCTTTATCAAGGCTAAGTAATATCTACCAAGGCTAAGTAATATCTACGAAGACTGGGTAATCTTTACCAAGGCTAAGTAATATCTACGAAGACTGGATAATCTTTACCAAGGTTACAGTAAAGCTGTAAATTATAACCATAATTTGATCCATTGAGTTCTACTAATTCTCTCAAAATAACAATATATCCACTTTAGAAATGCAAAATATATTTTTCTAAATTCTTAAAGTACAACTAAATTAAAAGTTCAGTTGTCACTTACTTGTTAAAAGCTTACATTTAAGCGCAGTTTTATTTCCAGAAACATAGGTTTATTACATTCGGTAAGTGTACTTTATAATGTTTTTGAGTTACAATTGCCCTCTGCTATAAGTACAACATACATAATGAAATTGTTCTTCATAAAACATCACTAAAACAATTTTCAAAACTTTTTTTTAGATAGGACCACACGATAGCTGCTATAAACGTAGTGTTCGTACGTTGTTTTATATGGTAATACAAAATTTTTATTTTCTAACTACAAAGGGTATAGTTATTATAGACATTAAGAACGCTGTTCTTCACAGTACCAATCATAGATGCTGTACATATAGCCATATACTATTCTTCACAAAACCATATGACTCTTGTATAGATATAGATTAAAAGTTATAATGACCACTCAGTAATAACGAAGTTGTTCTCAATAAGTCCAATGGGCAGCCATTATAAAAATTGTGTTTTAATTGTCGTTTGTAAGACGATAATTTGGGTGTTATAAATATAGTATTTGGTACTTTCATATTATATGACATTTATAGTACACATGGGCTAAATAGCAAAATTAGACCCCCCTAAAGTTCAGGCATAACCATCCTTAAGCTAGAACTACTGACCAAAGGGAGGGCAAAACCAGATTTCAGCACCCGCAACCTCTGCAGTTACTATTAGCCGAATAACGGGGTTCGCTTGCTTAGTTATAGCCCATCAGATAAAAGTGCGGAGCGTGATCAGCGGCGTATCGGGATTGAGCCTTTGATGTTATAATACACAGTCCGACACGCTAGCTATCCGGTCACACCCGCCCTGTTATAGACATATAATATTGAAGACGCCTCAATAAGGCCATGCGTCAGCTACTATAGAAATTATGTTATCCATTAATTCTAAGCCGATACGACAGCTTATATAGAATACTAACATTATATTTCAAAGACATACGATTGATGCTATGGATACAATATTAAACATGTCCTCCATAAAAACGGTACCTCAGTGGCTCAACAGCAAGTCTGAAAGCTATAAATCAGTTTTCGTTATTCGCAGTGAGCACACTTTAACAAATAGTAGTAGTTTAATTACACTCTCAGTAAACGCTCTCCAGTACTAGACTGTCTATTCAGTTATGGATTGAGATTTATAATGGCCAATGTATCTGTACTTCGTAATAAATAATCATTTTCTGTAGTTCAAATAATTTGAAACTGTTCAATAGTTAGAGGATTGTCGCTAAAAACTAGCAAATGTTTCGAAATGTCCGATACTTCCACATACCTCAGTAAATTATGGTCTTTTACTCTATCCACCAGTCTTCCTCTGTTGTCCAATGTGTAACTTTGTGCTTAATAACAAACAAACCCATAAAACGTGAACTACAATATTCACAAAAAGAAACATTTTCTTTAAGGCCAGATGGAAGTTGCTTTGGACATAATGTCAAGATTGTCCTAAATAAGAACGTACGATACTTCGGTAATGATATTGTTCAGTTTTAAGTTTATACGACCATAATGTAAATGCTATAGACGCAATAGTCACGTAGTATTTAACTGAACCCAACCGTAGTTTTTTTAGATGTAAGGCTGACTGTAATTTGGATTTCATAGAAGTTTCACTCTAAGAAACGAACAGTACAAAGTCTATTTAAATTTTACTGCTGTAGGTCCTATTGTATGGAAAGGTTCACACTTGTTTCTTTGGCTAACATTTGCAACTACTACGTTAACTATCACGCCAAAAAACAACGAGAAACAACAGGAAAGGTGGTTTCAAAGTATTAGTAAGAAGAAGAAATAGAATTTTAAACGTTATAGTACTTAAATCTGCTAACGTTATCCTGTTACCTCATAACTTTAATATATGTGATACAAGAGGAAATTTTTGAAAATGTTCTGCCAGTACTAAGTATACCATGAATACGCATACGCACCATCATGTTTTAAAATATTCTATAATTTAACACCATAGTAAGTATTATAATAATTCTTGCTCTTGTAATATGTTTAATATTTAACATTCAGTACAAAACATTTTATACCGGTACCTCGTATTGAAATTCGCCCTTCATTTTCTATTCATATCTCATTACTTAGATGATATTTCTTTCACTCTTTATTTTCGAGACCCGTCCAGCATACAAGGACGAATATTTTGCCACTACCCGTTTTAAAAGGCCAGTCGTGCAGAAATCCATAGGTGCTGCGTCGGCGAGTTGACCACTATGTCTCTTTGTATAGAGTAGCATGAATACCAGTTTCATTTTCTAACAGTTTGACGTATGCGACGGTTGAACAGATATGTCACGAAAACAATTTATATCTCTAGATGGAGATTCTTCTTGATAATGTTGCGTATTGTTAACAGGGCACATGGACAACTTTTTCTGGGATACACCTTGTTGCAGGTGTATTTCATGATGGTCCTGGTGCTCCAAGCTGATCTATATTTCTTCGTTTTTCCAACGGCATTAAATACAAGGGATAAATCTCGTCTTGAAAATTCTAAATTCCCAATCTGAATACATCTTTATGATCTGAATGGATATTTTGCTCCGGAAAGAGTGTTACATAACGTCCTAAAAACAAAATGCCAAACGATGTCAAAATGTGGTTTTGATAGATTCCTTTCCACCGCGCCTTTATATTGGCTGTGGCTGTTACGTGACTTGTTGATTTTCATATTCATAATCGTTTTAATATAACGTATTCAACGATCTGTATATCAAAACAATGCTATGTAGTTTAGATAAATTTTATTTTATAGGTTTATTTATTTTAAATCTATCTTAGCTTCCATAAAAATAGTAGGGACTCCTGCGGCATCAAAGTATTTAACTTTAATCAAAACTAAATCTGATATGCAAGTTTGAAATTATTTTATTTTTATTGAATAAATTCAGAAATTATTTCGATATTTGTTTCTAATTACAATTGCAACTGATGTATAAGTTGAAAATGGTACTGTTGTTAACTTCCAATAACAGGGAAACTAGCATATAACTGATGTATAAGTTGGAAACGGTAATGACGTTAACTTCTAATAACAGGGCAACTAGCATATAACTGATGTATAAGTTGGAAACGGTACTGTTGTTAACTTCCAATAACAGGGCAACTAGCATATAACTGATGTATAAGTTGGAAACGGTTCTGATGTTAACTTCTAATAACAGGGCAACTAGCATATAACTGACGTATAGGTTGGAAACGGTACTGATGTTAACTTCCAATAACAGAGCAACTAGCATATAACTGACGTATAGATTGGAAACGGTACTGATGTTAACTTCCAATAACAGGGAAACTAGCATATAACTGATGTATAAGTTGGAAACGGTACTGATGTCAACTTCCAATAACAGGGAAACTAGCATATAACTGATGTATAAGTTGGAAACGGTACTGACGTTAACTTCCAATAACAGGGCAACTAGCATATAACTGATGTATAAGTTGAAAACGGTACTGTTGTTAACTTCCAATAACAGGGAAACTAGCATATAACTGATGTATAAGTTGGAAACGGTACTGATGCTAACTTCCAATAACAGGGCAACTAGCATATAATTGACGTATAGGTTGGAAACGGTACTGATGTTAACTTCCAATAACATGGCAATTAGCATATAACTTGGCTATTATACATGTAACAATGTTCAGAATAGAAAAAAATAACATTGATTCTCATTTTTAATAAGGGTAACTGTCTTCATATTTACCCTTTATAAACTTTTCAACTGATAAAAAATTAAAATTGTCTTGATCTTCACTCACAGTAATAAAGTAATAAAGTATCTAACATGGAGGTTAAATCTCCTTGATGTTTACCTAAATTAACAGTTGGAACTTAACATTGAAACTGGAAGTGGTTTTGATCAGCATCTAATAAGGAATTTAACTGACATTAAAACAAAAAGATTTCTAAACCTTTATTCCTCACTTCTGTTAAAATTAAGAGTGATCAAAATAGTTTTTGTCTTCATTTTTAATCATTATTTCCACTGATGAATATAAAGGAAATGATTTTGATATTTCGTTATTGATTACAACTAATCTGGAATTTAAAAATAATGTTTTCGTCGTGGATTTTAATGACGACCACGTACAGCCGTATTAACGTGGCAGCTATAAATTATTCCTTGCAAAAAATAACAAAAACAGGCGAAATATAAACTGTCTTCATCTTTCTAGATTTTCTTTATTATGTCGCACGTTTTTGTCTTTATAAGGTTAAGTTGGTTTGTTTGTTTGTAATAAAGAACAAAGCTACACAATGGGCTATCTGTGCTCTGCCCACCAAGGGTATCGAAACCCGGATGCTAGCGTTGTAAGTCCACAGACTTTATAAGGTTAAA